GTAAATAAATTTAAACTCCATGTAATTAATCTATAATTATTATTTTTAGAAATTAGTTTAAATTTATTTATCTTTTTTTTTACAATGTTAATATTCTCTGTATTTTATACATTCTACTATTTTGGAACTTATATGCTGTATAAAGAAGTAATTAATAATATAGAAGATAATAATTGGAAAAGAATATATTATGAAAACATAGCAAATGATTTGATTTTTGCTTATTCACAATAAGCCTTATATTACAATAAAACTATTAATGAAGAAATGATTTAATATTAGAATAAAGTCTTGAGTGAATTTAAGTCAAGAATTTCATAGATCTCACAATTATAAGAATAAGAAAATATCCTAATCGATAGAATTTTATTAGATAATGTTTGTACTGTTTATCAAGAAGAAATGTAAAAATTCCTTATATATTTTAGAATTTTACAGGAAATTGATTATTAAGATTTATTTACTTATGAGCAATGTTAATCTATACCCTCATTATCAAAAGGATTAATTTATGCTGTATAAGAGTTATTTTACAACTACAATGACATTGTAGAGGATATCTAATCCAAATACTAAAATTAAATATCTAAAATTTCCATTTTATTGAATGTTGATACATAAATCAAGAGACTATATTCACAATTAAGTTTTTAAATTATAATAGAAATTTTAAGAAATGAAATTAAAAATTTCATTTCATAAACAATTTATTTAAATACTTTAACTTTTATCTTAATAAATTTTTTGGCAAGCATGACAATATTAATTGCAAAATTATCAATTGAAAAGGCCTATTAGCAATATTAAGACAATAAAAAAATATTATCGCTGTTTCCATATGAGAAATTAATGGAAAATGCTTATGTTATTAATTTTATAGCATAAGATTTGAATTTTTCAGTCTGAAAATATTATATATTTGACTAAATTTAATATAAAATTATTATTTTTATTCTACTATCATATGTTTATGGTTTCAATTATAATTATATTAGGATTTCAATATTCTTTTTTATATTATTAATATATTTTAATATAATGAAAAATATCAATAAAAATAATTAAGATACTTAAGATATTTATATTCTCTATATTATTTTATGAATAAGATTGATATAAATATTAATAATTGATAAAAGAGAGTTTCTATCAAGTTATGATCTATAATTTTCATTTTTCAAGTAAAATTAATTTGATTTAAATATTATTTTTTAATTCATATGTAAAAATGCTTCTATTTGATATATATATAAGTATTTGACTCAGATTTAGATAATAGTTATCATTAATATAATTAATATATGTCATCAGATTCGGATTAGCATAAGAAAGAAGAGGCAAATCGGATCTATGTGACAGGATATTCAGCAAAAGAATCAGAAATGGATATAAAGAGTATTTTCGCTAGACATGGAGAGATTCAGGAGTTTTCATGGAAAGGACGCTTTTGTTTCATCGTAAGACGTGGGAGTTGGCATTAGGGTGCAGGCTTATACCAAGCCTGAGGAGGCAGCAGATGCTGTTAGATTGATGAATTAATAGGAGATCAATGGAAGAAATTTGATTGTAGAGCTAGCACGAGCAAAGAAAAAGGATGGGGCCTGTTATTAATGTGGGAAATAGGGGCATTTGTAAGTGAAATGAATATAATTTTAGTGCTCGAAATTGTCGTTTGAATAGACGCTCTTATTCTGACTCCAGGTATGAGAACATGTGACATTAGGCGCCATTCAAAGAAGAAAAAAAAACGAAGAAAGCATAGATCTTCAAGCTCTTCCTCGAGTAGTGAAAAGAAAAAATCAAAAAAGAGAAAGAGAAAGAGCAAGAGTTCTTCATCAAGCTCTCATTCACGTTCAAGTGATTGATAAATAAAGATTCAAATATATTTAAAATCATAAGTAAATCATATATATATATATAATTGTCATTCCTAAAATCTTTAATTGGTAATATGGGATAAGATAGTAGTCATGGTACGATCCTCATTTGCATTTTTCATATCTTTTTTGAAAGTTGGCATTTTGGATAGATTTCTTTTGATATTTTATTATGTTGTATCATTATCTCTTATAAATAATCTTTTATCCACTAAAATAAGTAATAAAATAATTACAATCAATTACTCCAAAACATTTTTCATTTTACATAAGTAAATTAGTTTAAATCATAAAGGTTTCTAAAACTTTATGTCCAAAAGTTACAAATATTCTAACAGAATCTTCAGCACAGAAATTATTAATTTTTTATGCAATAACATCACTTTCTTATCTTACAAAAGTTTTAATTTCAGTTTGCATAACTCTTGTTTTTAAGAACATTTCATTTAAATTTACAGTCTTAAAACATGAAGCTTTAGTGGATGAACTGCCATTATTTTCTTTACATTAAGGTGATAAAGGTTCTTAACATAACATAGTTCTTTTAGGTTTTTGATTATTAATAAAAAATTAGTAAGAATTATCAGATAAAAAAGGATCTAATGATTATACATGAACAGAGAAATTCCATAACATAGTTTATTAATTAATTCTATTAATTTCTAATTTAGATTTCATTATATTATGTGATCTATTTTTAGAATCAATTTTTACCCCATCTAAAATTTATAACATTAAATATACCTGGACATATCATTAAATAATCAAGTTAAAAGTTATTTTTATTTGGAACATAAATTAAAATATGATATTGATTAATAAGACTATAATAATCTGGTATCATAGGAATATTAAGTATTTAACCAGTTGAATTGGCTAATACATCAAAATCATAAGAAACTTATAAGAATCCTTTTCGTTATGCATGTACTCTAACTTATTTAAACATTAATCCTTGACAATTAAATAAACCTTATTCATTTGTTATTCCAATAATAGGTTCTTAATCAGCTTAATCTGATTAGAATACTTCTAATCTACAATTTTCAATATCTTTATGTTAACCACTTTTTAATAGTATATTATAAACTCTAAATTAAAGAGTAGTTTCTACACAACTTACTAAATCAAATTCAATTTTCACATCTGTATTACCTTATAAAAATATTGTTCTCTTTTATGAAAAACAATCCTTTTTTGAAACATCAATATTATATTCTTATTTATCTCTTCCATAAAATATAAATGCTTATTCATTAATATCATATGTTAATGTTTCAGTAATATTTTTAGTAATATTAATAGTTGCATCTTCAGGAGCTTTTACAATACATTTTATTAAATCTATTCTTTCTACTCTTGTAGATACATAAATAGTATCAGTATTATCATCTAATAATTCATCTACATTTAATTATTATTTAGTTGTTTATATACAATTTCCATTTATTTCTATTTCATATGAATTTGTTTATTAAATTAAATCAATAAATTTAGCCTCTTCAAAACAACTAATTGGAATTGTTTAAGAAAATAATTTAACAGTGAATTTCTTTTCTGGTGATTAAACTTTCTATTTTTAACCAGATAGATCAATTTATGATACATTAGTTTAAGTCATCCAAGCCTGAGATTTTGAAGGTGAAAAATAAACTCTTACTGATTTTTCCATATCACGTATATTTTCTGTACTTTTATAAATATCTAATTTAGATGCACTTTTTTAACCACTTCCAGCTTATTAACAAATTGAAGTTCTTATTACAATCTACTTTGTTGGAGTTTATGCTGATTATAATGTAAGTACTTCTTTCTAACGGACAGTCACTTAAAGTCCTTCCATAATACTTTTTTAAATTCCTTCTTCACAAACTGGAACTATATGTTTGATTGGACAATCAATATTAACTGTTAAATTAAATTTCTTTAAATGTAACCATACTAAATCTCCAATCAATTTAGGAGTTATTTATTCTTTTGAAAACTGACGAGAATATAATACAACTGAATGAACATCTGGTTAGAATAATTAAATCTATAAATAATGATCAGGATGATTGATTTATTAACGAAACAACTTAATAAATGGAAATCTTAGAAATATTTCTTAAATAAATTACTTTCTATTTATTGTTTGTTTTATTTCATCTAAAAGATCTTAAAATGCTTCTTTAGTTTCATCTACACCAGTACTCTTAAATTTTGGATTATAACAACTCTATATTGAAACTGCGATTTGATTTGATTTCAATTAATCAAACTCACTTAAATTAGCAAATGATGCTTTCTCTTATAATGTTGATAACATATTTCTTAATAATTCTTTGTATTGCATTGTAATCTTAGTTGTGGTGGCTGGTACCATATTGTCATTAAAAAAACTAAACTCATTTATTTTCTATACCTAACTTTAGACTTAAACTTAAATCTATTGGGAGATTGCTAAGAATTTATACTGCTGGTTGTTTAGAACATAATTTTATGATTAATCGTTAAAAAATTAAAATATGTTTTTGCGGGGTTTATAAACTCTATTTCTTATCATTGTTTTATTTCATTTCAATAATCTAGAACCATTTTTTGATTTGATGGAATTGTTAAATCTATTTAATCCATGTATCTAATTGAAAATAGATAATTATAATAACACCAATTTGTATATTAATACATTTTTTTAAAGATTATTTTATAATCAATATGACATGATATTATTTATTACTATATCATACTTATATCTATTATGAATAATTAATCTATAATATATATTAGTAATATTATTAATGAAAATAAACATTCATTTTCATATTTTATGTATAAGATAATATGAATAACATTACAATCTACCAATCTACCAATCTGATTTTAGCATTCTCTATTTTTTGAATATATTAGTTAAATATTTACATATAAATTTTAAAGAAATGAATAAAATTAAGTTCTTCATCGATTTTTATGAGGTCATTATTAAATATAATATTTTTATAGATTTTCTTATAATTAAGCTTAACTTATGGGAAGTTAAAGATGCATATATTCTTTATAATTAATTCAGATTTTCTTTTTTTATTCAGAATGTTGGTCTTATTGTATTAAAGTAATTTATTAAATTTTCACATAATTTTTATGAAGGAGCTTTAAAAAAACTCAATCTTAAAACTATGGCCTCATTATTAAAAAATTTTGAAATCTTCAAAATATTCTTAATGGAAGTAGAATGATTTAATTTGTAAAAGGAGTATGTTTTATCATACAGTTATTGCTCTTAGTGCCTTTTATGTTTTAATTAGCCTAATAGTAGAAATTATTAAAACAGAGAATATGATGAATATTTTTCAATTAATACTTTTTATTGTGTTAGAGATCATAATTACATGCATCTATACTTATTGTAAGAAAATTTAGATTTATTTTCTTGTATAATATTGCTTGATTTCAGTTTATATCTTGATAACAGTATAAAATGAAGAAATAAATAAGATCTACATTTTCCTGTATTTAATACTTGTTAATAGCCACTCTAATATAATAATAAAGATTATACTATATTTATATTTTATCTTCACAGTGATATTTTTTTACAAGTTTGAACCTTTAGAAATATGTATTATTTGTTCAACCGCCTTTATTCACAATTATTAGTTAGAATCTCATTACATTGCAAATTATATAAAATAACTAAAGCTACTATCTATTATAGAGTAGATGCCAAGTGCAGTTTGTATTTTAGATTAAAACACTAAATAGATAACATATTCTAATTAATTATTTGAGAAATTAGCTTAAACTTTATAAGTAACAGATGAATTGGCTCAATCCCTAAATAATTAGAGCAAAGAATAATAATAAATAGATTTTATAAGGAATTTAAATTTAGAAGAAATAAAAAATGATGGATTTTAGATCTCTGATTTTATTCCATAAATAAATGATGAGGGTATAACAGATGATTAATATAAGATAATTAATGTTGATTTTAAAAGATAACCATCATAAAATACATTATAAAATGTAAGTTTTATGTGTCCAAATTCAGCTTAATTAAAAAAGAAATCTAAAGACATTTTTAGTGATATAAATACTAATGATTATTTGCTCAATTCTTCAAGAAAAAGTTATATAACAACAATACATTTGTAAATATAAATAAGTCATTAACCAAAATCATTTATTTTATCAGCTAAAACAAAAAGAAGGAAAAAATCATCAAATAATATGAATCTAAGCAAATAAAGTTCTAGAAATTTAGGTTAATTTACTAAAGTATAAGAAATTTAGAATTCCATTTATTGTGAAAATCTGAAATTATCTCCAAATCATACAGATACATTAAATCATAATTTAGTAGAACATAGTGAATAATACAAATTTATTAATGATGGATATGGATAATAATCTAGTACTAATCATAAAGTTAGACTTATGGTTAATTTGATATAAATTAATGATGTATTAAATGAGGAATAAGATTATTAAATTTATTGTATTAATGAATTAAGTCCTTTGCTTTTATAATATACAGTAAAAAAATTAGAATAAGCAAAGAAAACTATTATGAGATCATTATCTCATGAATTAAGAACTAGTCTAAATGCAGTTAATGGTTATATAAGTGAAGCTTATGAGAGAATAGATAATATTCAATAACTTAATAAAAATTTAGAATTATCTTTGAAATATATTACTTTGATGTAATTAAAATTATAAGATTTTTTTGATTATAGGGATATTCTAGAAGATTAATTTGAATTAAAAATTGAAAAATTTGATTTAAATAATGCTATCAATCTTTGTATAGATTTAATTAAAGTATAATGTTATGAAAAGAAATTAAATCTAAATGTAGAATTACCATCAGAAACAATAATAGTTATTGGAGATAAAAATAGATTCTAATAAGTATTGATCAATTTATTAACAAATGGAATTAAGTTTACATCTTAAGGAGGAATAACAATTTAAGTAAGTAAAGATTTTTAATTGGATTCTATTTCTGGATTAGAAGAAGTTAAGGAAATTAAATAATAATAGTTAGTTTAGATTAGAATAATTGATAGTGGAATAGGAATGAAAGAAGAATTAAAAGGAATATTAAATAAAAAAGTATATTAATTTATTATTTAGTTTCTCTCTGTAGATGATGATCCAAAAATTTCAAAGGATTCAGTTGGAATTGGATTAGGTTTAAGTGTTTGTTAATATATAATTAAGGCTATGGGTCCTTAAGGCTTAAATAGTTTATTCTTAGAATCAATAATTGGAGGAGGAACATAATTTTACTTTTTTTTAAATTATGATTCTATAAAGAAGTATCATAATGATGAGGATATTCCTGAATCAGAAAATAAGGAATAAACATAAGTAAGATTAAGTCCAACGAAAAGAAGTTTATTAAAAAGAATTGTATTAATTTGTTTATTTGTTTTTTTATTAGGCAACCTATCCGAATACAGTTTGTAATTCTAATGATATATTGATAGTAGATGACGAACATTTCAATCTGGATATTTTAGCAAACATTATTCGTAATTTGAATTCACATCAAAAAAAGTATGAAATTACAATGGCTTTTAATGGTTTTTAAGCATTGGAGAAGATTTAATAAAAAAGAATACAGAATTGTTGTTGTCTTGGATTCAAGGCAATATTAATGGATATCAATATGCCGATTATGAATGGTTGGGATTGTGCAAAACAAATCAGAATATTCGAAGATTAATATCAAGTTTAGAGGAGAATTCCAATTATAGCTATCACTGGTTATGGAGGAAAAAAAGACTTAGAAAAATGTCTAAAATATGGGTTTAATTGTGTATCTACAAAACCTACAAATAAATAAAAAATATTGAAGATATTTTAAGAATTTAATATATGATGTAATAAATTTTTGTACTTTTATCAATTTAATAAATTCAAAAAAACACTTAATTTTTGAAATATTTAATTTATATATATATATATTAATTATTTTTATAATTTATTTTAATTTAATCTATAAATTGAGATATTGAATATAAGAAATAGAAATATAAATATAAAAGATCATTTTAATCTTTAATTTATTTTATACTACAAATAGTTTCAGAATTGTATTAAGTTTCATCAAATGGATATTACTATAATTGATTAATTATATTTGATATTGGCTATAAAATATCAAATATCAAAATATTTCTATATAGTCAATCATATGATCATGAATTATACGACAACTAAAATAAGAGAACTAAAAGTATTAAACAAAACTAATTAATTATCATCTAGTTTCAATCAATCTATTTCATATAGCTATTTTAGAATATCTAAATAGAATTCTACAATTACAGTTATTTTATATAAGCAAAGTAAAAATTCATAGAATTATTCTTATAATATTAGATCTCTATTTAAATAAATCAAGTTTTATCAATATTCTTCAGTCATAGAAGCACTTTTTTGAAATTGAATTTCTTGATCTATTTCTAAGAACATTTAGATTTATTTAATTGACTAAAATGTCTAGTATATCCAATAGATCAAAAAAATATTGAAAAAAATAGAAAAAAAGAGAGAAGATCATATAGATGATATAATTTATTTTTCATACACTCTGCTACTCTTTTCTTGATCTCATCTAAAATTATAATTTTTGTATACTTCATTTATAACTGATTTTACAAAATTTGGATATACCTTCCACAATAATAAACAATAATCTAAAATTCTCTCATTATATTTAAATTCTCCATTATCATCAATAGTGAATCCTATTTCTGATAATTTCTAATGATTTTATTTNGTGCAAAACAAATCAGAATATTCGAAGATTAATATCAAGTTTAGAGGAGAATTCCAATTATAGCTATCACTGGTTATGGAGGAAAAAAAGACTTAGAAAAATGTCTAAAATATGGGTTTAATTGTGTATCTACAAAACCTACAAATAAATAAAAAATATTGAAGATATTTTAAGAATTTAATATATGATGTAATAAATTTTTGTACTTTTATCAATTTAATAAATTCAAAAAAACACTTAATTTTTGAAATATTTAATTTATATATATATATATTAATTATTTTTATAATTTATTTTAATTTAATCTATAAATTGAGATATTGAATATAAGAAATAGAAATATAAATATAAAAGATCATTTTAATCTTTAATTTATTTTATACTACAAATAGTTTCAGAATTGTATTAAGTTTCATCAAATGGATATTACTATAATTGATTAATTATATTTGATATTGGCTATAAAATATCAAATATCAAAATATTTCTATATAGTCAATCATATGATCATGAATTATACGACAACTAAAATAAGAGAACTAAAAGTATTAAACAAAACTAATTAATTATCATCTAGTTTCAATCAATCTATTTCATATAGCTATTTTAGAATATCTAAATAGAATTCTACAATTACAGTTATTTTATATAAGCAAAGTAAAAATTCATAGAATTATTCTTATAATATTAGATCTCTATTTAAATAAATCAAGTTTTATCAATATTCTTCAGTCATAGAAGCACTTTTTTGAAATTGAATTTCTTGATCTATTTCTAAGAACATTTAGATTTATTTAATTGACTAAAATGTCTAGTATATCCAATAGATCAAAAAAATATTGAAAAAAATAGAAAAAAAGAGAGAAGATCATATAGATGATATAATTTATTTTTCATACACTCTGCTACTCTTTTCTTGATCTCATCTAAAATTATAATTTTTGTATACTTCATTTATAACTGATTTTACAAAATTTGGATATACCTTCCACAATAATAAACAATAATCTAAAATTCTCTCATTATATTTAAATTCTCCATTATCATCAATAGTGAATCCTATTTCTGATAATTTCTAATGATTTTATTTCAAATGATTTTTTAATTAATTAGGACGTTTATAACCTTTTTAACATTTATGATAAGGACATTTGAAAAAATTCTTATCAGCACTGTAAGTTTGTTATTTAAATTATTTTATGCGAACCTCTTCAAATAAACGCTTAATCTTTTCTTCAGAAGTGCAATTCTCTAGAATTAAGTTAAAATTATACTTTTGTCTAGTGTTTCTCTTTGTCTCTATACAAACTCTTCACTTACTAAAGGAAATAATTTTTAAAGATCTTTTTCAGGTATTTATGGTGGTTATTCAACCCCTTCCTATTCTTTTTCTGGTTCCTATTTCACTTCAGTTTTTAAAGATTGTTTTTTATTTAAGTCTTGTTGGGGAGGTATAATTGGTTATTCTGTACTTGGGGCTTAATTATCAAATGCTGTAAATTTGATTTTGGGTATTGATAGTGATTTAAAATATTCTTAGAGAGCTTTTTTAGCAGCAAAAATATTATTTCCTAAGTTTAAATACCATTCTCTTAAAAATTTGAATTAAATTTAAACAATTTAAGTTTCAGCTTTGTCTATTTTATAAATTATTAATTTTACTTGTGATATCTTAATGGACACATTAGATCTATTTTTTATTTTATTCATTTTTTTACTATTTTATTTGTGCTTTAGTAAGTATAGTTACAACATTATCATTACCATTTACTTCAATTTCATCAGAATCTTCTAATTTGAAATCAACCTTTAATTTGTGTTATTATTAATATGGATAGACTGATTACAAGTATAAATTAAAACTTTAATCATCTTCTTTTTATTCTCTTAAAGGTCTATCTATAATTACTAACTATAAAATTTTATTATTGAATAACAATTTTAATATTATGTCTTATTGATCATTTAAGAAGGTAGTACTAATTAAATTGTTAATATAAAAATTACTTGATAGCTGAATTTGATAATAAGATAAATGTAACTTTTTCTAAAAATAGGTCTTTTAGTATTATGAATGAAGTTTACTTAAAGTTTAGCTACCAGGAGATTATCTTATAGCACTTGGAATGCATGGATAATTATTTGATATTCTGTTTCTGGAAATTGCCCCAGGGTTTTTTTGAGATTGATTGAATGATTCAATAAGTGTTTATAGATTCTAATCTAGAGAAAAGGAATTTTAAAACTTAGGTAACATTATGAATTAATAAAATATATTAATTTAATTACAACTCAATAAATTATATTGATAAGAGGAATTCATGGTTATTAATATTATTATTTTATTATTTTTCAATTATTACTTTGACTCTTCTACTTGCGAACATAGATCTATTGGACATCTGGCTAGACAGATAGACTTGAAAGTCTAGAAAAAATAAATAATTTAATATAAACGCCTTCTATGATCTAAATTAATCTTCATGAATGATTTTAGATTATTTCTATTAGTGAATGAAGTATTTTGAGACAAGCCTAAGGATTACATCATAAATGGATAATTCTATTTATTTGGAAAGAATCCATCTTATTCAATTTGATAATCCATTTTCAATATTCCAGTTTCTTCTTTAAATTTTAGATTGGCATTTATTTATTCTTATGCTTTCTTTTTTTCTTCTTCATTCATACTTTAATATTGAAAATTCACTCCTATTTATTTAGCATATCCTAATCTAAAATAAAGCCAATTATCAAAATCAGATGGATTTTAAAGACTTTTCAAACTCCATTATTTACCACCCATAATACTTTTATTTTTTAAAGACATTGTCATTTTGTGTTTATCAATAAGAACCGCAATTAAATGATCACCAACTTAAATTTTCTCAAAATTAATGTAATATGTGAAAATGGAGAAATCTTCAATCTTATTTTATATGTTTTAAATTAATACCACATCTTATTCAAAAATGACTCCTTTCATTCTCATGACATTAATTTAAGTTAATTGTGAGAGTAAATGCTTTTATTTTTTAAATTATTAGAAATCAGCTGATCTCACTTGATGTTGGGAAGTAATACATTTATCACTGAAAGCAAGGAATTTTTGTAAAATTACATCTAGCCTTCCTTTGACTATATTTTTTTTATTTACTATAACTTCAAAGATAAATCCAGGTTATAAAATCTAAGTAAATAAAGTCTATTACTTCATAGACAGCCTCACAATCCATACTTTCATCTGGAAACCCTACAGATGCAAATCCTAAATCTAATGCCTTATTTATATAAGGGATTATATATGATTACTTCTTCTTGTCTTTTGAGTTTACTGTAAGAGGTAATCATATCAGATTTCCTTTAATACACACTTTCCAATAATTAATTGGCTTATGTTTCAATATCTTAGATTACTTATTATTACATAAATATATAAATTATCCATAAATTAAAGTAAAAAATTTGTAAATCAAGACATTAACATATTTTCTTTACCAGTCTAAAATATTCTTTACTTTTGCAAGACTTTAACATCACTTTGATTTCTATGTTACATAAGAGTTTATCCAGTATTTATAAAATTGACAGTATCTGCAGGTTTTTGAATTGTATCATCAGTATTATCTAATAGTATTTCTTCATCAATAAAATTATGATTGTCTTCTTCATTGATTTCTAAATGATCTATATCTGATAATTAATTTTCTTAATATTAATTATCTTAATCTTGATTGACTTGATTTAAATTTTCTTATTTTGAATTTTCGATCTCAACTTATGCTGGTTCTTCTAAAATGTAATTAACAACAGATATGATTGGATCCTCTTAAATTTATCGATTACTAGCTTGATTTGATTATTTTGTAATTGGTTTACTAGATGAACATGCTCCCATTTCAAAATCGTTAATTATTTTAAAATTAAAAATATATATATATTATGTCTAATAATTTGTCAATATTAAAGGAAAGCAATAAATAAATATATTGTTCCTATTATCCAGGAATAGTTATTTTCAATAACTGTAGTATTATTTACTGTTGTTCCATTACAAGCTAAACATTTATTGGTAGTCTTATCCCAATAATGACTTT